GAGCAGGAGAAAATATGTTTTTGTAGAGGGAGTTTCTTTTTGGGAAGCTCCCTATCCTAATGAAATCATAGAGGATATATACATACATATATATAGTGTTATGGATGCCCACATATACACATGTTATACTTATAACTATTATGCTATATCCACACATGCACGCATGTACAATGCACAGACATATGTTTGTACATGCATATATGTATATAAATAGACATATCAGAATATCTGAAAATCTGTATTACAGTTTTAAGTTACATCTGTACTAAGACTTTGGGGATACCTGTACATGTCACTGTCATTCTCACCGAAAGCATTTAGAGACAGAAATCTATTACAACCTTTGGTTATAAGGAGATTATCTCAAAATGTTTAACTGTGTAAATTAAAATATTGGATAATTGGTAGAAAATAAACTCAATGGTAAAATTACCTCTCTCTCTCTCTCTCTCTCTCTCTCTCTCTCTCTCTCTCTCTCTCTCTCTCCCTTTCTCTTTCTCTCTCTCTCTTTCTCCCCCCATATATACACTATGTGTATATGACTATATTTATATATATGTGTGTGAATGTATATATAAAACATATACATATTTACAAATATGCATGTGTATATACATAGATACACATGCACATATACAAACACATATATGTATGTGTGTATATACATATATTTGTAAATGTTTGTATATGCTTTCTCCCCAATCCCTGTCTTTTCTCTCTTTGCTGAAAACTGCCAACAATGGGCCCTGTGTATCTCAGAGTAAAAGAAAAGCCTCTATTTACTTCCCTCTCTGCTTCTGAATTCAAAGTGAATTTATGTTCAGCTGGTCTTACTTGGCCCACAAAAAGCTTCCTGTGTGGCTCTGAGAATAGCTTAAGAACTTTTGGAGTGGGTAGTAAAATGCTACTAGCTGTGTGTGCCATAGACAATACCAGGCCAGGAACACAGTTGCTACCATTACAACACTGGCCTGTGTCCAATCTAATTCATGCATCTGGCTATGTGGAGAATTTATGTTCCCATGTTAGACTGCTGTTTGGCAAATTAGTACAAGAACGGAAGCCATGGAATTCTTCCCACCATACCTCCCACCTCACTGGGCCAGATCCATTGCTAGATAGTAAAGGAGGAAACCTATCAGAGTGATTTGAAGAGAGCCACAAATCTCCACATTACCCCTCCTTCCAAGTGTCCCCCATACGCCAATAGTGTTGCTATATTCACATAAATAGCGTATCCCTGAGGGAATGAAAATGGGAGTGAGGATGAGAATGGGATCCCTGAAGGTATTATAATGCATTGAATGAAGACTCTTCTTATTCAAAGGAAACTTAAATGACATTTAGTTCTGTCTTTTTGTGGAAAGCATTCCTACTATAATGGGGCAAGTGGATAGAGCACAGGTCCTGGAGTCAGGAGGACCTGAGCTCAAATTTGGCCTCAGACACGTAACAGTCACTAGCTGTGTGACTCTGGGCAAGTCAGTTAACCCCAACTGCCTCACCAAAAAAATAAAATAAAATAAAATTTCCTATTATAGTATCTCTCTCCCAAAAGCAGTCTTTGAGATGCCACTTGTAAATGATTCAAATCCTCCCTGTGACATAGTGGCTATGTGACCCTAAGCATGTCACTGAATTTTTCTGTGCCACCTGGCAACTCTCTAGAACTTTAGGGTAGAGAACAGGTTAAAGCAACTTTAGATTGTGCAAGTGCTTTGATGAAGAGAATTTCCTCTCTGGGAGTTCCCTTATGGATATAATAATAGCACCAGTAAAAAAAAAAAAGCTTATTACGGTCCTCAATTCCCCAGAACTTACTCAATGCTCTTTTCATCATATTTTGAGTTTAGAGAACTAGCTCTTTTTCTTTGAATTCTAGTACTGATACAAACAACAAATAAAGAGACAGAAAGACAGAGATTGAATTTTTCTTAATTATGTAAATATTACGTTCCTCCTTGATAAAACTTTCAATATTTGTTTCATTATTTTGTCAATCTCTACCTTTTTAGAAGTCGCATCCTAGTTTTTTTTTCCAGAAAATATATTTAAATAACTATCAAATTTACTTTTTCCATTTTCTCTGCTCTTAACACTTTCCACAATTATTTCATCATGATCTGATTAAATTGTATTTAACTTCTAATAATTTTACATAGTCCCTGCAGAACTTGTTTTTAGTACTTTGAATGGCATGAGATTTTATAAAGTTAATGCTCGATTTTCTTGCAGATTTAGAATTTTATTTCCTATTTCCTCATCTGTCAAGTGGAAATGTTTTGTCAGGAGGCAATAGCAATACAAATGGGATTGACTCATTTTCATGCCAAATACATGTATATGAACTCCATGAAAGAATAAAGATGACTTATCAAGTTGGCAAATGTTACCATAAACAAATCAGTCCCTTCTAAATTATTTGCATGCTATATATTTTCAAAATGAGGCAAGCAAATTTTATGTGATTACTTCAAAGAGGTAGGAAGGTAGGAATGTATATGAAGTAGAGTTCCCAGCCCTAGAAATTTCAAATGTGTCCTTCAAGTGATTTCCCACTAAAGACATTCTTTGTTTCCTAAAATGGAATGAGAATTTTAATTTAAATCTTATTAACTACAGGGCTAAATTTGAGTCTTGGTTGTGATTTTTTGGTTGTTGTTTTTTGTCTCCTCCATTAGAAAGTATGCTCCTTGTGAAAAGGAATTGTTTTATTTACTATATTTGCATCCCCAGGGCCTAGCACAGTACCTGAAACATGGTAGGCACTTAATGAATGCTTGTTGATAATGCAGTCACATTTTTATTATAAGTGAGATCAATTATGATTATTTATGAATAATTATGTCACGATATGATAATGATACTTATATTATCTATAAACATACCTTTATAAAAAAATCCAAAATATTGAAAGCCATTAGAAATCTAATTTTCTTTGTGTTTTATAATACATAAAACAGTGCTGCAGATAACAGCAACTTTAATTTTATTTACTCCCCAAAATTATGTTCATTTTGGCAAGCATAAAACAAAAATGGTTAAATGAGAGTTAAGACTTACGATGAATGAAGAGATGTTAAGAGAGTGATGTTTAGTTAGTTCAGTCTAGTCTGATATTTTGTGACTCCATTGGAGTTTTCTTGGCAAAGATAATGGAGTGGTTTGTATTTCCTTCTCCAGTTCATTTTGCAGAAAAGGAAAGTGAAGTAAATGGTTTTAAGCGACTTGCCCGGGGTCATACAGCTAGTAAGTGTCTGAGGACAGATTTGAACTTAGGAAGATGAGTCATTCTGACTTTATCCATCCTCTGTACCACCTACTTTCCCTTGGTAAGAGAGTACACCACCTAGCTGCCCTCTACAAATTTAATATGAGTCAAGAGCAGGACATGGCAGCAAAAACCAACTTAAACGATCCCAGGGTGCAGAGTATTCAGTTGAATGAGGCCTGTTATGTTGTTGTTCAGTCATTTGAGTCATGTCTGACTCTTCATGACCCCACTAAGGGTTTTCTTGGCAAAGATACTGGAAGGGTTTGCCATTTCCTTCTCCATCTCATTGTACAAATGAGAAAACCAAGGCAAACGGGGTTAAATGACTTGCCCAGGGTCTCACAGCTAGTAAGTAGCTAAGGCAAGATTTGAACTCAGGTCTTCCTGTCTCCAAGCCTGGTGCTCTATACACTGGGCCATCTAGCTCCCCCAACAACCACAACAACAGCAACAACAAATGATTGTAGTCTTCATGTATTTCAAGAAGAATTTGGCCTTAAAGATCAGCACTAAGAGGAACTAGATGGAAATGCCAGAGGTGAATTTCTGCTAGATAGGAGCCTGAACTTCCTAACTCATTGCCTCAGGAATTAGTGAATTTCCCAGCGGTTTCAGGTGTCCTGTGGGGCTGGATAAGTACTTATTGCAGATGCCGTGTGGGGAATTCTGCCTTATGTATGAGTTTCCTTGGATGAACTAACTGCAATCACTTCAATCTCTGAGATGTTCTGATATAGTCATTAGAATACTAGGAAACATAAAATAAAGCTTTCAGGTATCCATCAGGTTTTCCTAGTTGTAAAGCTGAGTTGTACTGAGGGATTTCGATTCCTTCAGTCAAGTCTTTCTCCCTTTCATGATTAGCTATACAGATTTATGGAACAACAGCTCTGTCAAAGTACTATTATTGTCATTCACATTCAACTCTTTGTGACCCTGTGAACCATTCTGTCCCTGGGGTTTTCTTGGCAAAGGTACTGGAGTGGTTTGTCATTTCCCTTTCCAATGGAATAAAGCAAACAGAGCTTAAGAGACTTGCCCAGGTTCACACAGGTACTAAGTGTCTGAGGCCAGGTTTGAACTCAGGTCTTCTTGACTTCAGGCCTAGTAGTTTATCCACTGAGCCACCTAGTGCCTCAAAGGACTGTCACAGTGCTATCTCTTGCCAAATATGTCCTTATGCATAGTAATCGTAGGCAGCCGCCTACTCTCAGGAATGCCAAAAGTCACATCTGTTACTCACGTCTTCCTCATGGCTTTACTCTGGCTATAACTGGAGTCAGCCCTTTTTACTGTATCTCTAAGAGGACTATTTCAGTAGGTAAACATGATATGTGAGAATAAGGAACACATTAAGCACACTAACACATTAGCTTACACGTTCAATTTTTTTTTTCAGATGATAGCCAGCTGTCCCCTTGTTAATTTGGGAGGTAAATCTTGAGAGGAAGGAGGCCTAGACTTGTATACCTGTCCTAATAGGGTTCAGAAAGATGAAATAATTACAGTGGAGAACAGTGGTATGCCTCCGGTCAGCAGAGGTTTCCCTGTGGCAGAGATATAGATGATAAAGTTTGCCTGCTTAAGTGGTTTTGAATATATCAAACAAACCTCCTCCATAGAAGACTCAACTGCCCTCTTACCTTGACTTCATGAGTATTAGCCAGCTGAATCCATTGTAGACTATACGTTTCTGCTTAGAAACAGGAAAGCCATAGGATCCTACCTGAAGTGCAAATCCTTGAAGGAGAATTGTGTTTCAATAATGCCAGTAGTTTTCACCCTGGAGTGCAGGACATCTTGTTCATTTGGAACATACCCAGGAGCTGTTATCCTGTCAAGATCATTGAGGTAGCTATAGGTGGGGAAAAACACACAGAAAAAGATTAGCCTGTTCATTTGAAGGACATTAGCCTGCATAACAATGCAAGTGTACTTTTAGTGGAGATTCCATTAAACCTTGCCTTCTAGACCTTTTGATGCTAAGCTCGTTTTTTGGAAAAGCTTTTTTTTTCAATGTAACAAAAAGTTAAAAACAAATTAGCAGGAGTTTATTGTTGCTGTTGTTGTTATTGTTGTTGTTTTTCGAGAGGAGGTTAGAGCTGAATTTTGTCTTTAAAGCAAAAGTAAACCTTTTTTAACATAATGATAGAAAATGGACTGTAATTTCATTTGTAAAGGGAAAACCCAGGTAACTGGATTCCCTCTATTGATGCAGACCAACATCTTTGCAACTTACAGTCTTAGAGAGTTGCCTAAAGAACTGACAGGTTAAATCACTTGTCCAAAGTTACATAGCTAGTATGTGTCAAGGATGGGATTTAAACATAGTTCTTCCTGACTCTGAGGACAGCTCTTTATCCACGTAACCACATTGCCTTTCTTATTTACCTATATGACCAATACAGTAATCAGAATAGGGCATCTTCATTCCAGGTGGTTAGGGCAGGTATAAGACAACTATGGGACTTACTTCATACAGAACATTACTAGGAGACTGAATTAGTTCAAGAGAGAATCCAAAATATTGCTACGATGCAGAAACAGACTTATGTTTGAAATCAAAGGACCTGTATTTAAATCTTAGATCTATCACATACAACCTTGGGCAGATTACTTATCTTCTCTTGACCTAAGGTAAGGGTTTGATTAGATCACATATTCTTAATATTTGTGTATTTGTCTGTGAGTATTTGAGAGAAAGGGAGAGACAGAAACAGAAAGAGACAAAAATAAAGAGGAGAGTGAGACAGAGATAGAAGGAGAGAGACAGAGCCAGACAGAGAGAGACAGAGAGACTGAGAAAGAAAAACAGAGCCAGAGCCAGACAGAGAGAGACAGAGAGACTGAGAAAGAAAAACAGAGACAGAGAGAGAGAGAGAGAGAGAGAGAGAGAGAGAGAGAGAGAGAGAGAGAGAGAGAGAGGTGAAACTTACAGACCTCTTCTCAGAATAATACTTTAAATGCATAAAAAAATATATAAGATTATAAAGAGAAGCAATTATATTGAAATGAAGCAGTTTTTTAAAAAATACATATTCATAGACCCTAGTTTTGGAATCACTGTACTAGATGATCTCTAATTCCCTTCTAAGCCATCATAGACTAATTTGTCAGGTTCCTGAAGACACTGGACTTAGAAGTCCAGGTTTTAAATCCTGTCCCTGATACTTAACTACCTTTGGGAGTTAGGGCAACTCATTTACTCTCTTTGGGTCTGAGTTTCCAGGCATCAGAGATTCTAATCTCTGACATTCTTTCCAGATCCAGTTTGTTTTCCTATAGATCATAGTCTAATATCTTAAAGGTTCTCAAGGATCTGGAACTTTATAAAGGACCAGGGCTCACTAGCAACATTTGTGACCATGAACAAGTCTCATAACTTCTCTAGGCCTTTTTTTTTTTAATCTGCAGAATGAGAGGGTTGGATTAGCTTGTTTATGAGATCCTTTCCTGCTCTAGACCTATTATCCTATAATCCTATGAATATAGGGTGGAACTACCTCAGAGCCTTAGCTGTAAGGCTCAAATCACCACAAAATCCCAGGAGGTTCCAATCAACATGATGAAATGCTATCAGGAAATTTCCCATAGCATTATCTGAAAGACTTTATTGTTTATAGAGGATATTGTTACTGACATTATGCCAGATTTACAATTCTATTTTGGAATAATGGAATAATGTCTCCTTGAAAACTTTTCATTTTCAGTTTCCTGCAGGAGGAGCCCAAGTTTCACACCCCCATTTAAATCTGAGAAGGGCATTGCTATGGAGGATCACACTTCAACAGTCAACCTTTTAGTTGGAGAATCAGACTCAGTATTTACTATTTCGTATCTCTCAGCACTCTAGATCAGGGAGCACTATGAACTTATTTACCATGCTATAAATTTCAGTCAACTAGCTCTGATAAATGAGCAACACAGAAAGGTGTTTAAATGGCTAGTCCTTTCTGGATGATGGGCCCTTAAATTCAAATATTAAATATGCAGGCAATTTAGTAGCTGCTCTTATCTCCTTAGCAGTTCAAAACTGCAGCCTGAGATCCACCAGATATCACAAACTTCCCTCATGCATTTGTAACATTCAAGCAATAAAGTCTCATTAGCAGGAGAACATAAGAATTAACAATTGGTTTAATGAAATTTTGTCACTTATGGATGATAATGTCTTTGGAAAGTAAAATGGATTTATACTCAAAAGACTGGGTTCTGCTTCCTGTTCCATAACTTACTAGTCATGGAACTACATGGCCAAGTAGCTATAGCTCTATACCTATATTTTCTTATACATAAATTGAAGAGTCTTATGAGAAATCCTCAAAGTCCCTTTGAATAGTGGCAAGGATAATGTATTTGGAAGAAGAGAATCAGAGTTTGAAACCTGATGCTGTCAGTTACTATTTGTGTGATATTGATAAGATCACTTAAGGTCTCTAGGACTTAATTTCTTCATCTATAAAAAGAAGAAATTGGCCAAGTGAGGAAGCAGGGTCCCAGAAACACTAAATCATTTTTCTAATGTTATATAGATGGAAAATGGCACAGCCATTTTCAAACCTAGATTTAAACCTAGATTTAACCTAGATTTAAAACCTAGATTTAAAATTCAGCGCCCTTACTACTATTCTAAGGAATCATAGAGATAAGCTAATGTACTTAGTCTTACAGATAAGGATACATTCCCCTTGCCCAGTTTTAACCATGTGATATTAAACATTTATTTAGCACCTTGAAGTTTGCAAAGCATTATATGTTTCATTTGAGTCTTTCAAAATCCTGTGAGGTAGGAGCAGGTAGGTGGTGCAGTGGATAGAGCACCCACTCTGGAGTCAGGAGGACCTGAGTTCAAATCTGATCTCACACACGTAACACTCACTAGCTGTGTGACTCTGGGCAAGTCACTTAATCCCAATTGCCTCACCAATACATAAATAAAAATCCTTTGAGGTAGGTACCAGTATTTTGTACCCATTTTGTATATGAGGAAGCTGAAGCTCAGAAAGGTTTAAGTGACTTGCCAAGAGTCACATTGCTTATGAATGACGGAGTTGGAATTTGAATCAGAATCTCCAGCCTCCTTTTCCAATACACCATGCTGCCTGACATAGACTCAGAGACAAACACATGCCTATTAAGTGCCTGCTGCTTACAAGTGTTGGGTTAGTAACAAGGCCCTTTAATAAAAGGATTTGTTCTGTGAAGTTTGGATTCAGTCAAAGGGCCACTCTTGAGAACCTAGAGGGCCACATGGGGCTTTGAGGCTGAAGGTTCCCCAACCCTGGGTTAGACACTAGTGATACAAAGACAAGAAATGAAGTAGTTGTTGCCCTCAAGGAGCTTATGTTCCATAGGGTGTGTGTGTGTGCGTGCGTGTGTGTGTGTGTGTGTGTGTGTGTGTGTGTGTGTGTGACCACAACATGTATATGGATTCATAATGCTTTGAAGTTTGAAGGAGAAAGAATTTAACCTTTGGGAGAATCAAGAAAGGTTTCTTATAGGAGAAGGTACCTAAGCTGAACTTTGAAGGAAGACAAAGGCTCTGTAAGGAAGTTATCAGAAGGGATGGTGTCTTAAGCACGGGATCAAGCCTGTGAAAAGGTACTGAGAAATGTCATACTGTGGTCACAGGTGGGAGCACAGAGTGTGTAAAGGAGAATGATAAGCAGTAAAAGAAAAATAGGTGGTAGCCAGATTGCAGACGGTTTAAAATATCAAGTGGAAGAGTTTGCATTTTAACCTGTAGGCAAATGGAGAGCCACTGAAGGTTTTTGAACAAAGGAGGGACATGAAGAGACATGCAGTTTAGGTAAATTATTTTTGCTGCAATGTGCAGGATAGATTGGAAGGTGGGGACAGTAGAACCACAGAGATCAATTATGAGATTGCTGCAATAATCCAGACAATGTGATGGAGAAAGCAGGCAAGAGGTGATGAGCTAGAATAGTGATCATTTGAGAGGAACAGAGAATGAAAGAGCTGTTGTGAACATAGAATCAGTGTGACTTCACAACTAATAAAACATAGCAGGTGAAGGAGAGTGAGAAATGAAAGATGAGTCTGGGATTTCAAGCCCATATAAATGGAACAATGTATGTATCCTCAACAGAAATAGAAAAAGAAAAATTAAGAAGACCCCCTTCTCCAAGTGTGTATATGTGAGGGGGCAGGATTGGGGGTTTGGTGGGAGAAAATAATGTCTTCCCTTTTAGATGTACATAAACATTAATTCATCACATTTTCCAAAGTAGTAATTCCTTTTCAGTTTAGCGAAGCTAAGATAATAGATGTGGAGGAAGGGGGGGACGTGGGGTGGCTAGGTGGCACAGTGGATACAGCACTAAGCCTGAAGTCAGAAAGACCTGAGTTCAAATGTGACCTCACTAGCTGTGTGACCCTCGGCAAGTCACTTAACCCTGTTTACCTCAGTTTCCTCATCTGTAAAGTGAGCTGAGGAAGGAAATGGCAAATCACTCCAGTATCTTTCCAAAAAAAAAAAAAGGCCAAATGGGATCACAAAGAATTAGACATGACTGAAACAATTGCAAAACAAAAGATAATAGTTGATAAAGGGATTTTTCAAGTTACTCCTAGTATATAGAATGTTTTTGCAAAAAGAATTGAGAACATATGTTTCTCAGTTTAAATACAGAGTTGGCTACTTACCTGAATATGCATATGAACTAAGAAAAGTACTAGTCTGTGGAATCATGTAGTCTTTCAAAAACTAAACATACCTGTTAGAATTAAGATAATTTAAAAACTATACATGCTGGGTGGTGGAAAAATGCTTAAAGAACATATTTAAACATCTTCATTTGCATTCATGATAGAGCTTATTTGAATGTGAAAACATTTTTATTAGGCAAATTCAGAATTTGGTTGTGGATGCCTATCTTGTAAAACTGGAAAAAAAAATAGGAGTCATTCAAGAATTTGGTTCAATTGTTTTGAAAGAGTCAGTTATTTCCTATATTTTTTTTAAATGCTATTTGTAATGATGTATATTACATAGGTTACTATGGAAGAATGTGTAAGAGTCAGAAGACCTCAAATTCTAGCTTTGCTACTTGCTAACTGTGTAACTTTGGGTAGTTCACTTCTATCTGTGCCTCATCTATAAAATGAGGAGGGTTGGACTTCACCAACAATCTCTAAGATCTCATCCAGCTATAAATCTATGATACGACCACCCAATTAATTTATCACTTAATTTACAAATAGATAAGTAGTCAAAGGATATGAATACATAGTTTTCAAAGAAAGTAATACAAGCTTTTATTAACCACATGAAAAATTATAAAATAACTAATAATAAAAAAAATCCAAATTTAAACAACTGTAAGTTTCGACCTAATGCCTTTTGAATTGGCAAAGATAACAAGAGGAAAATGGCATGTGCTAATGCATTATTGGTGAAGCCATGAATTGGTTCAACTATTCTGGAAAATAATTTAGAACTAGCTTCCAAAAGTCACCAAACTTTCTAAACCTTTTGACTGAGTGATACTGGGTCACAAAACGCAAAGGTCAAGGGTCTACATCCCAAAGTAGTCAAAGACTGAAAGAACTTATCTTAAAAAAAAACACATTTATAACAGCATTTTTATTATACCAACAAGCCGAAAAAAAGGGTATTCATCAAAAGAGAAATGGTTGAATAAGTTATGGAGTATGAAGGTTAATGGAATATTATTAGAGAGTAAGAAATGCCAAATATTATAGATTTTTAAAATCCTATGAAAACTTCTATAAACTAACATAATGTAAATTGAACAGAACCAGGAGAAAAATTTGTTCAATGACCAAAAGAATTTTAAGGGAAAACTAACACTAAAAGACTGCAGAACTCTCAGTGACTAATCATAACTCCATAAGACTGATGATTTTCTACTCCTTGGCAGAGATATGCACATTCAGGCATAGTCAATGTGGCATTATATTTTTTGCTTGAATGCACTTATTTGTTACATGTAAGAGAGTAATACAACAAAAAGAAGAAAAGAAAGAAAAATGTGTTAATAAATCATTAGAAAATACCCTGCAATGAAAAGGAAGTTTGGAAGGGGATGCAGACAAACAAGGTATTTTTGTTACTGTAGTGTTAAATTTAACATAACGCAAAAACTCAAACTATATATATATATATATATATAGATAGATATATATAATGTCTGCCATTTCATACATCTTCTGTTTTTGAAATAATCACACTTGTTTCTGCTTATCAAATTCATAGTGTGTGTATGTATTTTCCACCTTCGTCCTAAACCAGAAGCCCCAACCAGCCTTTACCCAGCAGATCCCGAAGCTGAGACATCCACCCATATCCGCTACTCTATCATGCCTAGCTCTTCTCATTTTGCGAGCAATAACTCCTCATCTGCTTGGTTAAGGAGTTAACTGGCAAAGCCAATTTCCAGAGACCTCAAGACAAAATGGAAATTAAAATACCTCTTTGATTCAAAATTGTTAATGACTCCTGCCCTAAAATGATATTCATTAGTTCATGTGTACAAGGCATTTATGTATGTATTTTATTATTATTCTCCCATTTTAAGTCTTAGTGTGAACATAATTCTGTATTATGAGAAATTTTGTAGTTCTTTTAGAAAAGAAGTGATGACTAGTCAACTATTTGTTTTACCTTATTTAGGTTTCTTTAAGCATTTCTAATCCTTCCTGAGATTTACTATGTGGTAACTATGTGGTACTCTGAAATACATTATACACATACATATATTGTTTCAAATATATGTATAATGTGTGTGTGTAAATATATGTGTGTGTATGTGTGTGTGGGTGTGTTTCAAAAGTGAAGGCTTGCTCCTGACATATATAAGTACAACCAATTTATCTGATATTAGACAATGTGTTGATTTGCCAATACATATTTTAGACTTAAGGGCCAACTCAATGAAGTCAATATTTGGGTTTTGAGATATAGGAGGAAAACCTGAATTGTTTGCTTCTGCTTTGCTTTTCAGACAAGACCTTTATTCCCTCCAGTGCTCTAGGCAACTTTTTAAGATGCTAAACTGTAGAAAATGTACAACTTGAATTAACAAAGGAAAGTTTCTAAGTGTGGAGTTCCCTATATCACTGAAATCACAGTTCTAATCCTTATCTATCTCTTTACCTCTATGAACCTATGTACCTATCCATTTATCATCTATGTGATTTAATCTTTGTGGGAAGCAAGCAGTGAAAAATTCCTCCTGATGAAGACTACTACCTATCTTACAACTTGCTATCTTATAGTTACCTTGGAAACTGAGAGATTAAGTGACTTTTCAAGATCTCAGAGCTAGTATGTGTCAGAGAAATAGATGTATGTTTGCATACACACACAAGTATATACATGGAAGGTCATTTCCTTTTTTGAAAAATACTAAATATTGTGAGTGTTGAGTCCTTTAAACACTAGCATCTTGATTTTATTATGACTAGGCTATGTTGTGTATTTAACCTGGCAAATATGTATCTTTTCAAGTACAATAGCTGAATAAACAGTTGTGTGAAAACCTATCTGGTATTTATTTTTCAAGTCTGATTTATCTTATGTTGACTTTTTTTTTTTACTTCATTCCATTTGTTATCTCTTTAGTTAGGACTTTCAATGTTACAAATGCACATATAATTTTCCCTATATTATTGTTTACAAATTGGTTATACTATTTGACTTTTAACATGTTTCATTGAAAATACCTATGAGAATGAATTTACTTACTAAGCTGCTGAGTCATTGAGTTGGTATTCTGATGCTCTTTCAAAGCAGGCCTGGATTCCTGGGTCTTTCCACAGTCGTTTTATTATCTCAGCCAGTTCAGGGGTCATGGTGCCATCTTCTAAGCCACTTGCTATCATGCAGAGTTGTTTTTGGTCTGCCTAAATAGGATTTTAGTCATAAGAATGAAAATGTTTTCACTTGGAATCAAGTAATTTTTTTCTTAAAGTAGCAGGTTTTGTTTGGGGAATCTTTACCCTGTTCCTTTTAATGATAATATATCTTTTTTAAAATATCATTACTAAAACAATACTCAGTTGCCAGGATGAAACATAACTCCCGGTAGCTTGAAAGTTTTCTTATGCACCTGTACAAGCCATAATGAGTTACTAACAGAAAGTAGCATGTTTATGAATGTATTTCTCTAATTTTTTAGTAAAATACTGAGAATGACAACCATTGATTTCTATATTCCCTCTCCTCCTTGGTTTTCTAGAAAGAAACAGAATATCATACTCTTCTTAATGGATATTAAGTATGAATCCCTATAGCAAATCTCATGTTCTGATATCTTTTAAAGCAGCTATGTGATTTATCAAGAAATTAAGAATCAGACAAGTTGAAATTTGAATAAAAATGGAAGAAATAGGCAGAAGCTCTGTAATTATATTTCTTATATTATTTGCCATTTTTATTTATTTAGTTGTCTTTGGTTTATTGTGATTTCATTATTGTTAGGAACCACGAAGTAGAAACACTCATTTCTGCAATGAAGAAGCGCTTAATTCTTCATGTTATGATATGAGAGAAATCCTTGCAAGCATTGAGGATTAACATGATTTGAATAGGGTCACACAACTAGTATTTATCAGAGACTGCACTTTTATTCATGTCTTCTTGATTCCAAGACAGACTCTCAATACACTATGTTTGGCTTCCTCTCTATTTTACTTTTTTGAGTGTGATAAGGAATGGTAAAGTGAGCTCCTCTTATGCATGTGTTGTAAGTGTACAGAAAGACATTTAAATAATATTTTCCTATCCAGCAGAAGTATTATTTCCTCATATATAGAAGTGGAATTAGTTTTGATGGGAATTCAGTTAGGCAAGAGAAAAAAAATTAATATGGAAGGTGTTGCAATGTATCTTGGAGGAAACTAGAGAGAATATTAATAATATCTGACATTTTATAGCCCTCCACAAAGTGGATAACATACATTATCTCATTAGATTATCAAAACCTTGTGAAGTAGAGACTATCTTGATTTCCACTAAAAGCAAACTGAGTCTTAGGGAGCTTGATTTACATGTCTAAAGTCACAGAGCTAGTTAGTGTCAGACTCAGTTTCAGATTTCTTTATTCTAAGCCCAGAGATATTTCCACTATTCATAGCTTCCTTGTGAATTCTGTGATGACAAAATTATTTTGCCATTGTAGATAATTCCTATGAGATTTGCAGTCTTTTCTTAGAGATGGCCACTTTTCACACAAGAAAATGAGTAAGTTATTATTATGACTACGTTGCAGGTTATGTTTCATGCATTTATCTGGGGTCATGGCAATGGTCAGAATTTCATGAAAAACAGATCAGAGACCTTAATATGGTGGCCTATTTGTTTTTAGTACCATTACAATCAGTCCCTATAGCCACAACCCAACTGATCATTCACTCACCTAATTCAATTACTAAGCAGCTGAAATCTCCAGCTGGACCACCTTACTGTTGATCCATTTCTTGTATAAACAACTTTCCTTCCTGATTAGTTGAATGTGAATGAAAACTGCAAACCCTGTTGTTTTTGCTGATGGTTTTTTCATAAAACCTTTCCCTGTTAAAGTGTAATCTGGAACATTTTATGTAATGAGACAGCTGGTCACATACCCTTGAATCTAGAGTAAGAATTTTAATCGAGTAAGCCAGTTTTAGCTTTCAAAACCAAAGTTTTATTGCATTTCAAGACATGAAACCATTTCCTAAGTATGGAGAATTTGGTTGCTTATTTTAGCAAAATATAGAAAGGCATCTATTATGGAAGGATTAAGGAGCTATGGGACAGGGGGTGTGGTGGGGATAGAGGAGGCAAGATATTTTTATTTTTACATAAACTACTAGAAACAGTCATATTCTGAAAACACTAAGAAAATTCTTTCAAGAAGTTTCCCCTTATTTTGCTGTCATGTGATTAAAAAGTCATGATAGTAGAAGTTTATATGAAAAGATTTTTTTTTTTGTATCTTCCTTGGAAATTAATCCATGGGCATGGTAGTCAACTCCTAACTTGAATTGCTGCATGTGATTTGCTGCTGAAATGCTTGCTCCAAGTTAAGGAAAAAAAATGAATGTGAAAAGAGAGAACATAACATGAAAAGAAATGAGTTTTGAGACAACATAATTTAACATAGAACTAAAGAAAACTTTTTGCTAGTGAAGGCTTTGCTTATTACACTAGGTAGTCCTAGAAGGGAACAGTGGAAAGACCTCTGCATCTAAGGACAGAGGATACTTGGTACAAAACTGGTTCTGCCAATCATTCTCTCTGTGACCTTTGGCAAGTGACTTCACCTCTGGTTTTAGTTTACTCTCTATAAAATGACGCAGTTGGACTTAATATTTTTAAAGATTCCTTTCAGCTTGAAATAATCCTCTACTTTGATCCTATGCTATAATCCCATAAATGATCCCATACTTTTCCCTTATGTGTCTAAATTTTAAATTTCATACGAATTTCCCCAAGTCTACTATGTCTGGGAAAAGTACTGACCGTGAACTTATTTAGGTTGTGGGTCAGATCCTGACCCCCTGTACACAGTAATATGTGCATGTGCCTCTTCAGGGGGTGGTGGTTAAAGTGCTAGACTGATTGTCAGGATGACCTTAGTTCAAATCTCGGATCAGATGATTCCTTACTGGTAGTGAGATCCTGAGAAGATTTCTTAACTTCTCTTAGTATCAGTTTCTTCATATGTCAATCATTGGTAACAATGGTTGTGACACTTAGCTCACAGAGTTGTGAGTTTCAAATGAAGTCATGCATGTAAAGTACTTTGCCAACCTTAAAATATTACATAAGTATCAGATATTATTTCACCAAAAGATAAAAACCTACAGAATTATCACAAGATCTGCATTTTAATGGGGTTCTACTGTTACTTTTTACAATTTTATGTATCTGACAAAGAATAGAATCCCTATTAAATGATTCCCTGTGCCCCTGATCCTTGTATTGAAGCACTACTATGACAATTTGTTAATAACTAAAGGATTGTCAAAAGATCATCAATTCCAAGCTGGGAAGGAGATCATGTGGTTTAACCCTTAACTTGCCCTTAAGTCACACCAGTAGCAGAAAGCAGAGCCAAGATTTGAACCTAGGTCTTCTGAAGCCAGAACCAGCATTCTATATGATCTATAATGTCATTGTACTGTACTATCACTTGCCATATTCAAGATGCATTAAAAAGCCTGCCTCAGCTAGAGTCCGTGGCAGTTACAAAGTACCTTCCAATAACAATCCTAAGGGGCCCCTCTAGGAATTTGGGGGACTACCCAGGGAGGTGAGAAACAAAACAAAACACTTTAATAGGGGAGAACAGATTTGGATAACCTTATTTGGCTCTTCACTTCTAGAAGCTGTTTGCTTCCTCTCTGGCCCAGCCCTCGAGTTTGAGAAGAATCTTTAGCATGTCCAGGCCTTCCAGAAACCTATCCAGAATCCCAATGTACTCTATTGGGAGGTGAGACTGTGAAGGATTCAAAAGAATCTTGTTTGCCCAAGACTCCTTTGGAATGGTCAGGGATTTTAGGAGAGTCAGAAACTGCTCCTTCTATAGGAAGTTTCATGGCCTGAGAACTTGGATGAAAAGAAAGTGGTAGATTTGTTGTCCCCTAGAGATCGCTCAAAGTTCCTTCCTCCATTCCAGTACTCTCAAGTCTTTCTAGAATTGGGTCAAGTTGTTCTAGGGCATAAGGGCGGGTCAGAGAGTACTTGTATAGGGATTTAAGTAATTTACAATGGAGACTACTACTCTTATGGACCCAAAGCTTGAGTGACAGTATCAGACCAACAGGCATTCCCTGGAGGACACCAACTATGTCCATGTCATTGACCATAATATTTGATATTCAGGATAAGCAAGAACTTATTGAATACGTGAAAAATTTCTTATATTGCATCTGACATACTGTGCAATGTCCTTGATATGATTATATTCAAAATTTATGACTATTTTATCTCTTTCCTCAGTATTCCTACATATTTTTTTCTTTTGTTGTATTATATATTGTCCCTCCCTTACATGACCTTGGGCAACTTGCCAAACCTCCTAGGGCTTCAGGTAACTGTCTAAAATTATATGTTGCAGAGAATATGGAGGCCAGCCATCACGGAGGGGATTTCCTCATCTGGGACTTCCCTATACTTTTGAAATCATAGGGCTAGTTCCATCCCTTTGCCCCTCCCAATTCCTTATGACATACTTTATCCTACTTAGCAGCATGATTTTTTTCTTCCATGTTTGGATTATGAACTCTTTCAGAGCAGTATTATGGCTTATTCAGCATTGTAGTCCCATAGGACCTGCTCAAATCTTGTGCTTATAGTAGGCTCTCAATGATTTTCTGGTAACTTTAGAATGCATCAGATGACATGATGAACTTTGAGTCAGGAAGACCTAGGTTCACATCATACTTCTGACACTTACTAGGAGTGTGACCGTGGAGAAGTCATTTAGTATCTTTAACATTGCTGGACCTCAGTTTCTTCTTCTCTTAAACAGAATTAATGTTATTTTTACTACATATCTCAGAGTTTAAAGATACTCAAAGGAGACACTATATGTAAACTGAAAACTTTACAGTTTTATGCACACTTATTATTATTATTATTTATTTGGGGTTTATATTGACTGCCAAATTATATTCTTTCTTTGTTTTGGTTTTTACCCCTTCCCACAGGTGGTCTCATTTGTGGGTAGGTAGACATGAGCTATTGCCTAGAGAAAGGTTCTTAGCCAGGGAACATGAGCTTTTTTAAAATGATGTTGATGATTACATTTCAATATAACTAGTTGCCTTTGAAATCCTGTGCATTTAACAATTTTATTCTGAAAAGGGGTCCATAGATTTCGCCAGACTATTGAGGGATCCATCACACACATACACATATGTTAAGAACTTCTAGCCTAGAGATGTATAAATTAATGCAAATACACAAATTAAAAATTTTTTAAATTAATCTTTCAACCCATTAAAGCCAAATAAAAATAAATTGTTAGCTTTTTATCCTTAATGAAATCATCTGAATAAACAACAGTTTATCAGGCTGTGTGCTAACACTAATATCCAATGCCATGTGATAGATATATCTTGGCTTTGAAGTTATTTGTCTCATGTCAAGGAGTCATGTCAATACATGAAAAGGCCTGGTACTTGACAACTGGGCTGCTTTGTTCCTATTAGACTTTAAGGCTATGAATAGTGAGGCATTTGACAAAACTCTGGGTACCTAGCTGCACTTTACAAGCCACCCAACCCAACTAAATTCTAGTGATAAGATCTCTTTATATTTGATCCTGGTGGTGAAGTGCATGTCATTGTCTAAGGATCAGCATAGCATCAGTGTAGGAAGTACATATACTAATGAAATGACAGATCCTTCAAATGACAAAAAAAAAAGATGTGTTACTTCAATAATGCTGATTGCTAATGTAAAGTGTAACAGAAAATGCCAAACAGCCTTGTGCAAAGGATGATAAACACGTGAATGGGCAATAGCTACAAATGGAATGACCAATGTCTATGCTAAATGAAGACACTCAGACTTAAGTGATAATGACTCAACATAAAAGATAAGGGTCCAAATACTGAATGATCTGAAGCATTTTTTCCATTATAAAATGTGTGTATATATAATGTGTGTAAATATTAAGAAATAAACTTACTGTTAATAATTTTGATAGTGAAACATGTCAATCATGCCAGACCAGGTTATTTAAACTCTTTTACTAACAGAGAGAACATGGCATAATAAATAACTTGGAGTCAGAAAGACCTGAGTTCCAATTCTGCATAAACACTTAATAGCTGTGTTAACTTAGGCAAGTCTTAAATTCTCTGAGCCTCATTTTCCCCATCTGTAACATGGGAAAAAATAATAGCATCTATCTAGTAGGGTTAGTGTAAGGGTCAAAGGAGTATGAAAAGTGCTTTGCAAGCCTTAAAGTGCTATATGGAGGTCAATGATTGTGATGAAGAGGCAAAATGGTAGAAAAAGAACCAAAGTTGTGAAGATGTGATTTCCAGATCCCACTTCTGCCAGATCATCTACGACCCTGGACAATTTACTTAGCCTCTCAATCTTCTCTCTGTAAATTGCAAAGCAGTTGCCAGTTGACTTTAGGAGAGGGAGTTCCCTATGCCATAGTTTCATAGTTTTAGAGCTGGAAGACACCTCAGACATCATGTAGTCTAAACCTGTTCATTTTACACAAGGAAATCAAAGCTAGAAAAGTTAAGCGACTTACCCAAGGACACTTGGGTAATAGCTAACTAGCTAGCATTTATATATGACTTTAAGGTTCACAAAGTGCTCTACAAATATCTCATTTGATCCTTTCAACAACTCTAAGAAGTAGGTGCATGTTTTACAGATGAGGAAACTAAGAATGAGAGATTTAATGATTTGCTTGGGGCCACAGAGGAAATGCTCATCTGAGGCAGAATTTGAACTCCGGTCTTTCTGACTCCATATCCAGCTGGATGAACAGTACCTCCATTTTGACAGAGACAGAATTTGAACTGATATCCTCTGTGACTCCAAATCCAGTTCTACTTTTTCCATGCTACCCTGCTACCTCACCAATGAAATCTCAGGTCTGGACCCCAAACAAATACTTTTTATTAAATTAGAGGTGATTAACCTCAATTTGTTCGTGTTTCATATGGGGACAATAATACTTATTCTGCATAAACTAGAAGGTTATTGTAAGGAAAAGGTTAGGTAAACTTTACAGCTATGTATAAATGCAAATTGTTCTTAACCTTTCTGACTCTCATTTTTCTCTTTTGCAAAATATATGAGTTAATTTTTGTAGACAGCTCTTTATTTTTTTTTCATTCTGTAAGTTAAATTTCCAGATTACAAGAAAAAAAAATTAAGTACTTAGACACATAAAATACATGATCCACAGAAACATTCCTGGTCTGAACCACAGAAAAACCTAGATGGAGGCCAATTTTAGTCATGACATTTTTTTTTTTAGCATGACTGTGCTAGGCAGTTCACACTATGAATTTACAAATGTATTCCTTTGACTCTGGGACTTGATAGTCTGGAATAAGTTGCAGTTATGTGAATGGATATAGCATTTGTCCAGTCAATTGAACAAAGCTTTACTAATGCATGAATTAAGTAAGGAAATGTGTGGCATCTGTGTAGACAAGCAATCATTTAGATGCATATTGAGCAAGTGTATGAAGTCATGTGAGTTGCATTTGTAATATGTGAGGTGAGAGGGAAGGGAAGAAAAAAAGGAAAAAAAAAGAAATTTATATGCCAACTTTCCTGTATATTGAAAAGAAATAGCAAGTTGTACATAATTGATTTGCAGTTTCATCTACAATCACCTTTTTTTATTATACTATATTATGAAAATGCTTATTTTATTCCACAAATTAAAAATAAAATAAAGTCCCTAAAAATAAAGGAGCAAATAAAATTTTAAAAAAATATGTAGTAGGCAAAGGAGATTATTATTGTTTTGTCTTCTAAACAGTCCCATGAAAAGACTATCTAGTCATGTATTAGATATTTCTGAATGAATTTCAGTTTCTCCCATATGAGTTTCCCATAACATTTCTTTTGAAGGATGCTACAAATGTGCCTCCTCTATTTAGTTTGCTATTGTATTTAATTTTTATTTTATATTAACTCCACTAACAGGAATGCTGAAATAAGCATTGGGAGAAGATACTTTTATGGTCCTCTGAGGCGGGATTCTTTATTTCTGGATAAGGATGTATATGCCAAGACTTTTGCCTTGGCCCTCGTATCTTTTCTAGGATCTCCCTTAGTGATTTCAATCAGTGTTTGAATTATGCTACTGCTACTTAATACCTGTGTGACCTTGGGTAAATCACTAAACAGACTTTGGTCTGTTTTCTTATCTGCAAAATGAAGGGGTTGGATTAGATGACTTCTCAGGTTCTTCCTAGCTTAAGATCTATGATCTTATAATCCTATAGCGTATGATCCTATGCTGTAACTGAGTGAACTCTTATATTTCTGTCATTTATCTTATCAAAGCTTTTTTGGGGAGGAGGAATGGGGGTGAGTATAGGTTGAGAGGTAACTTGGCATAGTAGATAGAGAGACAGAATTAAAATCAGGAATCATCAGGTTCAATTACTACTTCTGACATAGACTAGCTATGTCACCCTGGAGAAGTTACTTAACTTCTAACCGTCCCAGGCAACTTTAATATTATTAGATGCAGAAAAGTTGCCAGTCTACATTGTTTGAAGGAGTTTCTTCAGTGGGAGTTCTCTATACAAAGGACATAAGTCCAGTCCAAACAAACAAACAAACAAACAAAAAAACAATGGTACTAATGATAGCATATGATTGCCAGCATGAAAACTACTATATCTTATATGTCTTCTATTACTGAATTTGTGCAAGGTAGCAGAGTTGTGAGTAATGGGTTAGCTTTAGAGTCAGAAAGAACTGAGTTTAAGTTCTGTTTCTGACAAATGCTAGATGTAATGACCATAGGCAAATTTGTAGCAAGAAGACATGAGTGCGAATCCTGGCTTTTCCAATTACTTTTAGCATTATCTTGGATAATACATGTTATCTCTATGGGTCTCTTTTTTACCCATGAAGTCAGAGGGTTAAACCAAATAACATCTGAAGCCCTTTCCATCCCTATAATTTCTGTTTTTCAAAAAAATTGGCTACCTTGCAAATTGGATTTTAATAAAACTTTAAATACTTTATATCTGTGAAGTCCCAATACTCTAATAGATCTAGTGGATCAATGGAGCTATTCACTTCAATGATGCAGATTGTAACATCCCTTCTCATTGTATTGCCCTTATCCATATTCTCCTATAAATCATTTGTAAGAGAATGGGTCTACTAAATATACTGGAGTCATTTAAGTATTTTAATTTTCTGTGTGTACTAGTACAACACATAGTCTGTCCATTTGCTTCCTTTCACTCTAGCCACCTGATATTTTCCAATCATAAGGCAGAGTGTACAGTATCTGACACATAGCAGGCACTTAAGGAGCACTTATTGAACAAATGAATGGATTTCCTTCATAGTTCTTTGTAATGTTTCAACCTAAGAAATAGATTATAAAATTCTTTCTTTAAAAAAAAATGTGTGCATGTATTTGATGGAAATAGGGGGAGGTATTGTTTGAATATTAAATTTAATCCATAGACACCTTAGCTATAAAAGGATTTGTGGCCTACATAGAAGCATATTGGAGATTTGGGGTACTTGTATTTAGTTAGTAATAGTAGTAACAACAGTAGTAGTAGCTAAAGTGTGAAAATTTCTAAAATGCTTCATAGATTTCATTTAATCTTCAGAACAATGCTGTGAAGTAGGTACTATTTTTATCCCCATTTTACAGATAAAGAATCTGAAGCCAACAGAGAGATCAAGTGATCTGTCCAAGATCGTACTACTGATAAGTGTCTAAGGCAAGATTTGAACTTAAAATTTCCTGAGCCCAAAGTCTACTTCTCAATCTACTGTGTCAACTAGTTTTGCCACAAAATGATTTAATGTTCTTTTTAGGATCTCACTGTTGAATGGCATTGGTTTCACACTTACTGTACTTTGGGGATTTACATAATCAATCCCCAGAACTGTCATAGCCTTCACAATGGCCAGAATGGATTGTAGGGTGTTACTGTAAACAACAGCTTTGAACTCCATGCATTCTTGCTCTGTGTAGCCATTCTTGTGGATAATCCTGTAATTGAAACAGAAAAGGTCTCAGTGAGTTTAATATTTGACTGTTTAGTAATACCAAATTATACCAGAATAGTTTGTGCTTATTGGGCAAAAATCACTGACTTCAAAGGATTTGAGTAGGATTCTTCTGACAACTCTGGACCACTAAATTTCACTGGCATAGAGAATTCCTAAATATGGAAAGTTCTCTCTCTAATGCAGGTTGGCAACTGATCTATAGCTTGGAACATTGTCAAATTAAGAGATTTGTCCCAGGTCACACAGTCAGTATGTATTAGAAACAAGAAGACCTCAGTACTTCTTCAAGGTCTGCCCTTCATGCTCTGTCCATGCTGACTTGTAAATCTAAGGAAGTATTTCTGAAAGGGGCTCCTTTCTATTATTAAAATTAGTGAGGACCCACCCAAGATCTTTTTTTTTTTTAATATGGGTTAGATCTATTTACATTTACCCTATCAGAAATTAAAATCTTTTAGTATTATTATGAAAACAGTTTTGACCTTGCGGTCACCCTGAATTATTCTTGGGACTCCCATGGATCTCTGGGTCACCCTTTAAGAAACATGTTGATAAGCAATAGAATGGAATAAAAAAACAAATATTCCAGAATGGCAGTGTAAAACATGAAATTAACTTGAAGACTTTATGTCTTCAGATTTGATTTCTTTCTTTTCATTTTTTTATTTTATTTTTTTTTAACTTGTGACCTTTGTTTTATCTAATCAGGAAAAACTACTAGACTGCTTGGAGACCCTGGAATTCTCTCAGAATACACGATTCATTTATTTGTGGCAAACATGGACATTTTGTTTGGAAAGTTCACTCCTTCTCAAGAGGATGATATCCAGATTCTCAAAACACCAACATATACAGTACAGTGAAATTTTTGATAGAATATTGAACAATTTCCACAGGAAGTAGAGACAGTAGCTAGGAAACTCATGCCTCTTCTGATCACTTAAGATACAGGGAAAAATAGGAAGGTCTGTTTTCTATTTTTGGTATTAGATGATTATTTCCAGCTAGAGGAAAAAGCATCATTTTTCACTTAAGTAATTGTCCTGTAGTTGAATTATCGTTATTCCTTAGTACAGTTATGTGCCAGCATATTTTCATTTGTGTTTTGCTTAATGTGTCTATTGCTTCCATTTAAACCATTGTTCAGAAAGGAACCAAATCATGTTTTACTGGTAGGTCTGGAGGGGTAGCTCATACATAACATACATACATACATACATACATACATACTACATACATATACGTATATGTATACATATACATATACATACACATATACATATACATATATATACATGTTTCAATAGATATGTCTATTGAAAAGAAAATAATTTATGCATATTTATTGAAGTTTGTTGTATAATTATAGTAATCCACAGATTTAGATGAATAATTTTGAATAAAGTGGCATTTTTAATCTGTTGACTATATTGAGCTCTCCTGAGAGATGCTAGAGTTCAAAGTGTGACTATGCTACAATCGTTTTGATTCTTTTTATATAAATTGAGTGGCCTTGGCATGAAGAAGAATCCTCAGTTTCTCTGAGATATGTGACTGAAGCATATGATTAAAGAGGAAAAAGCTAAAGCAATGATTCGGTTTCCCCAGGCTATAACAAATTCCTCTTTTAGAATAGGCTGTGAACATGAGCATTCCATAAAGAAATATTTTCAGTAAAAAAAAAAAACCCAAAAAAAACCTTGATCATTTGCTGTAAGCCAGTCTACAAGAATAAGAACAAATTCAAAGATGCTTAAATTCTCAAAGTAGAATGAATTTTGACCATTATGGGAAAAAATAGTGAATTATAGAATCCCAAAGCTGAGACTCAGAGACTATGTAGCCTAAATCATGCCTGGACAGCATTCCCAAGAATAGTTAATTAGCCTTTGCCTGAAAACTTCCTGTAAGGATGAATTCAATTTCTCCATTTATGTGTTTTTGCCCTCTTTTTTTCTTTGGTTATTCCTTTCAATTAGCAAGCAATTATTTTCTCTCCTCCCCACCTACCTCTACCAACTGTCAAAAAGAAAAAAAAACTCTCATAAATAATAAGCATAGTCAAGCAAAATGAATTCCCACATTGACTAAAGACCCCAGCTGTGGTAAGGACTTACAATTAAACAAAAACTGCTGTGAAAACTTGAAAGTACTGGCAGAAATTAGATGTAGGCCAACACTTCACATTGTATTCCAAGAAAATCTCCAAATGTAATATATATGCACATATAAGTGTATTTATACATATACATACATGCAAATATACATACATATCCACGTCATATACAACTTAAGAGGAGCAAGAATGAAATTTCCCTTTAGATCTGTAGATAGGGAAAGAGTTCAAGGGGCAGCTAGGTGGCGCAGTGGATAGAGCACTGGCCCTGGATTCAGGAGGACTTGAGTTCAAATCCGGCTTCAGACACATAATACTTCCTAGCTGTGTGACTCTGGGGAAGTCACTTAACAGCAATTGCCTCACTTAAAAAAAAAAAAAGAATTCAAGCCCATTCCATTTTTAGGTAACTTTAACTTGGGGGAAGACTTTCCTTACAAGAATCCTAAATATTTCTCTCCACAATTCTACTGGTTTTTGTTCTGCCATCTAGGGCCAAACAGAACAATTCTATTTATTCTTTAGGGTGTCTTTCAATACTCAAAGATCACTATCATATTGCCCCTACTTTATGCTAAACATTCTGAGTTCCTTCATCCATTTCTCATAATCCATGATCTTAAGGCCCTCACTATTATAGTCTCCAATATATCAGGTTCCTTCCTAAAATGCAGTGACAATATCTGAATCATATTCCAGATATAGTCTGACCAGCTTCTTTTTTCAGGATATTATGACTTTATAATGAAGATCACATTAGGATTTTTGGCTTCTATGTTGAATTGTTGATTCATATTGAGCTTGAAGTATAATATCTGTGTATACTATGTATACAGCATTCTCTAGATCCATTCATCCATAAAGAAAATGAGGTCAATTAAACACGAACTGTTCTTGATAGAAACTTGCTAACTCTTTCTAGTCACTTCTTCCTTTTCTCTATGTTCTCTGACCATTCATTTAAATGAACTGTAGAATTTTGTGAGGAACCAAATCTACTCATACTTTTATATCTTTTTAGCATGAAATGATCAATAGCCACACCTTCTTCCTACACTTACTTCTGAAGTTCATTTTTTTTAGCCCAAATGAAGAATTTTACACTTATTCCTTTTCAGTTTAATAATGGAAAGTGGCATGGATAGAGAGCCAGTCTCAAAGTCAGGAAGGCCTTGGTTCAAATCCCACCTTTGATACATACTATGGTGACCCTAAGAGGCAGAGAAAGTAGAGAGCAAATTGCCAACATTCACTGGATTATTCAGAAAGCAAAGCAGTTCCAGAAAAAGAAAAAAAAATCATTTACTTCTGCTTCATTGACTGCACTAAAGCCTTTGAGTGTGTGGATCACAACAAATAGTTGCAAGTCCTTAAAAAGATAGGAGTACCAAATCTTCTTATTTGTCCCTGAGGAGCTTGCAGGGTCAAGAAGCAGCATATAGAACTGAATATGGGACAACTGATTGGTTCAAGATGGGTAAAGATGTATGACAAGGCTGTGTATTTCCACTTTATTTATTTAACTTATATACAGAATACATCACGAAAAATGGCGGGTTGGATGAATCAAAAGCCAAAATCAGGATTGCCAGGAGAAATATCAGCACTCTCAGATATGCATACAATACCACTGTGATGGCAGAAAGTGAAGAATTAAAAAGTCTCTTGAGAAGGGTTATAGAGGAGAGTGTAAATGCTGGCTTGAAGCTTACCATTAAAAACAGAAACAAAGAAAAAAAACAACACCTAAGATTATTGCTTCTATTCCCATTATTTCCTGCAAATAGAGGGAGAAGAAATGGAAGCGGTATTAGATTTTATATTCTTGGGCTCAAAGCTCACTGCAGAGAGTGAGTGTAGCTGTGAAATTAAGATACACTTGATTCTTGGAAGGAAATCCATGGAAAATCTGGACAGCATGCTAAAAAGCAGAGACATCATGTTGCTGACAAAGGTTTGAATAGTCAGAGCTATGTTTTGGGATTTTTCTTTTGTTCTTTTTTTTTTTTCCAGAAGCAATGGATGGCTGTGAGATTTGGGCAATAAGGAAAGCTGAGCTCTGTGGAATTGACATTTTCAAATTGTGGAGCTGAAAAACACTTTTGAGAATCCCTCGGACAGCATGGAGATCATATCAATTGCTACTTAAAGAAATTAATTCTGACTCTTCATTGGAAGGACAAATACTAAAGCTGAAGCTTAAATACTTTGCTATATAGTGAGAAGACAGGACTCATTAGAAAAGACCCTGATGCCTGGAAAGATTGAAAGCAAAAGGAAAAGGGGACAGCAGAGGATGAAATGGATAGAGAGTGTCATGGAAGCAATGAATATGAAATTGGACAGATTTCCAAAGATAGTGGAGGATAAAAGGGCCTGGTGTACTAGGTCCATGGGACCAGGAGGAGTTGGACACTACTAAACTACTGAATAACAACAAATGTGACCCTAGGAAAGCAACTGAAACTCTGAATGCCTCAGCAAATCTGTCAGACTACAATTTGCATAAAAGTTGTGGATTTGTTTTTGTAGAGGGACTTTCCTCACCAAAAGTTCTCTATGGCAATGTGCATATATACACACACATATAAATACACACACACACACACACACACACACACACACACACACACATACACGAATAGCTAGATGACACAGTGAGGTGTCAGGAAGATTCCTCCTCCTGAGTTCAAATCTGGCCTCAGATACTAGCTGTGTGACCCTGGGCAAGACACTTCATCCTGTTTGCCTCAGTTTCCTCATCTGTAAAATGAGCTGGAGAAGGAAATGGCAAACCACTCCCATATCTTTGCCAAGGAAACACCAGATGGGGTCACAGAGAGTCAGACATGAATAAAATTAAC